AAACAACACTGTAACGAACGAACGTTAACTCCAACAATACCGTGTAACTGCAGTTCAATTACTCACTGACTATCCACACATGACATTCCCCTCTTTTATATACCAGCGTACCCTATTTCTAGTAAGAACTTGAACATTCGCCAAAGTACATGATAGTTCTAGAAACGTTGCGTCACGTGGTCATGTGACTCGCTGACGCAACAGTATTGTTAAATACGTATTCCTAACAATTTGTTGAAACAAGCATATACTTCTCTCTCTTTTTGTGGCTTAAAGGCTATAGGGCAAAAATATAGGTAAAAAAATTGGCAAAAATTATTTTGAGATAAAAATTATACCTAGGTGTACACCCTCAGAATTCCCTTAGTATGCATGCAAAGTTTCATGTCTTCAGGTTCTTTCCTCTTCTGACACACACATACAGGCTGTTTGATGAGGGTACATTGGCTTGTAATTCCTATTTCATCCTGTATTTAAGGTTTTTAATATAACACCAAATTTCTGTAAGCAAGCTAACTTCAAGGTGTAATGATAACATCGTGTACACTAGAATTATGACTTTTTTAATTACTACTAGTTAATAATACTCATAAAAGCGGATACTCCGTTTGTAACTATGTCACACTGTGAAATTGGTTGACACCATTGTTTTGGTTTTTGAGTTATCATGTAATAAAAAAGAAGCAAAAAGAAGAAGAACCAAAAATTCAAATTTTTGATACTTACAGACATTCCCAGAACTTGTGACCCAGTCATTACATTAATATTTGTATAAAAGAAAACACTGTATAGTATTATAAAGTTCTGATGACCTATTGAGGAGATATTTAAAATACCATTTCGATGAACAATCCCTTCTAGCGTGTGTTTAAGTTAAAGTGACTGTGGAAATTAAGTGTACTGCAAAGTTGAATTGAGAAAGAATAAACTAGTTTTATTTAAGAAAGGACTTGTATCGCTGAAGTTCTTCGGAAAGAATTTCTACGGAAAATTAACAAACGAACACTACTCTTGGACTACTCTTTTACCAACGAATAGTGGGATTGACCGCCACGTTATAACGCCCCCAAGGCTGAAAGGACGAACATGTTTGGTGGGACGGGGATTCGAACCAATGACCCGCAGATTGCGAGTCGAGCACTCTAACCACCTGGCCATGCCTGGCCTGGTGTAGGAAGGAGTGGCAAAGTGGAGTGCTTGGCTAGACATGCAGATTTTACAGCTCCCGTGCTGCCAGAGGCAGCTCAATCTCAGAAAATTAATATAAGAATATAATTTACAGTTGTTATACAAGTCAAATATGTAAAAATGAGGGTGCTACAGCACCCCCGACGTCTCTGCAAAAGGTGGTTCCAAAACAATTCTAAAGAGTAATTTGCTGAGCGAAGCAAAATATTAATGGTTGTAAATAAGAGACAAATGCTAAAGTTTGGAATTTGAAGATCACAGAACACCCCTTCCCTTACAAGCCAGAACGTTTACTGGCTAACACTTGATCTATTTGGCTCCTTTTTAGCCACTTTATTTCTTAGAATTTGGTTACAAACAGTAGTAATTTAGAATACATTTCAAATGAATAGATTTTGATGAACTAAAGACATGATATATATATATATTTCACACACATATTCACGCATATGTATATAAGTGAGAATATGTGTGAAAAATAGTTTGTTACGAAATATTTTGAAGTTTCATAATTAATGCTGGAATGCAATTAAATATATATTACACAGATCAGAAAGATTCTGATTTTTTTTCTGTAGATCCTACGTGCTTTGGATTATCATGTGTTTTTATTAAGTGTTTATCATGAGTGTATTAAGTAAACAGTTTCAATGAGAGAAAAAATAATGAAAAGTAGGAAATATAGAAAAAGTAGATACTTACAATGAAGAAAAAGCGCCCTTTCCAAAACTAGATAGTCTTTAACCTCTTAGAAATTACAGTTATAACTATGGCTTTTCTTCTCACTGTTTATAATTTGGACTTTACAGTTTCCTCTAATCTAATGTGATTCATAAAGAGGAACTGTTGTAATAATTTTAATTTGTTTGTGCACATCATGTTGTGAGTTTTGAGATGTTAATTAGAAAAGTACATGGTTGTTAAAAAATGTGTTAATTTATTTCATCATATGCAGTTTATATAGTTTAATCAAGGGTCTTTAATGTTTGTTTAAAATAAGAAATCTAAAGAAAGGTGGTGAACAAATCTAAAATTGTTATTGTAATTCGAAAAAAAAAAGCCAGCAAAACAGCAAATAGAAGTTTTGAAATTCTGACTATTTTCTATTAGAAGCTTGAAGAAATATCTTTTTTATTAATCATAAATGTAATAACAATATTAAAATAATTAATAAAACGCATATATAATATTGCAATAATTTTAATAAAAGATACTAACTCTCTGATTGGTTGTTTTGATGTAGCATGTTTCATGTATTTGTAAGTAAAAAAGGTATTCAACACTGATAAACAGAGTTGCCATTTGTCTCTTGGAAATGATAAAAGTTGTTTAGACTATAAAATGCTTAAAAATAGCCAT